AATTTTTACTGATTTCAACATTAATTTCACACATATGTTCCCCCCTGATCATTTCAATGTGTATATTGGGAAGTAGTATTCAAGATAATTTTATAGCTTCTTTTTTTTTAAAATCATGTAATGCGATTGCACAAAGGTCAATTGTGCATTCACTGAGTTTTGACAAATAAATACACTCGTGTAACTCAGATACATCTAAAGATATAAATTACTACCATTATTTAAGACCATTTCTTCATGTCCACTGAACCTCCACACCACACACAATAGTAATCTCTATTGTCACTTTTTTCTTAAATAATGGATTAGCTTTGTTTAATACTAAAAATAAATCAATCAAGCAATATGTACTTTTCTTTGTAAAATTTCATTTACACCACTTATCTTTGACATCTGTCCTTGATCCTATTTGCATAGATACATCTTTCTTAATTATTGTTGATCAATGTTCCATTATATGAATATTAAATATTTGTGTGTGCATTTGTAAATGACATACATGGTATATTTCTGCATATATTAAATTTTGTGTAAAAATGCCAAAATTCTCCAAAGGATTGTAGTCTTACCTTTCCATCAAAAAAAGATAAAATTTTCAGTTTCTGCTCTTCCTAACCAATATGCCATGTTAGCAATCTTGCTAATCAGTCTTTCTAGTGGATGTTTACTGGTACTATTTATAGCTGTTCATTATCTGATGGCTACTAATATTAATCACTTTTTCATGTATGTAAGTGTATGGGACAACTATGTATCATTTTAATTTGTTCAAATCTTTTGTTCACATTATGTTTGTGTTTTTATATTTAAATGTTTGAGTTGGGGATAATTTCTGTTTCTTTATGTCAGTCTTTTGTGATATATGTGTGTTTTGTGGATATTATTCCCTATTCTCTGTTATATATCCACATTATCAATGGTTATTTTGAAAAAGTGCTCTTAATATTGAAATCATAAGCTATATTTTAAGGTATTTACTAGTTATTACTTTTTTTTACTTTTATTATAATCTTTCCTACTTCAAATTCACAAAGATATTTTCCTTTCAAAGCCTTATGTTTTAGAGTTTTCTTGACAATAATGTGTGATAGATATTGAGGCTCATCTTATTCAAAGATATTGATAATTATTCTAACATCATTATGGCCTCTGTCAAAAATCAGATGACCACACAAGTAAAAATCCATTTATCTGCTATTTTATTCCATTATTTTGTTATGCCAGCATGATCTTGATTACTATAGCTGTAAGTTTTTTACTTGTCTAACATTGTTTTTCAACCTTTTTTTTTTTGGCAATCCTGGGATCTTTGCACTAGCTTCATAAACCTGAGAAAAACCCAAACAACCTAATGTTCAAGTACTTTGTAGATAAAATATAGATAATTGGAGAGTCCACTTCTTAGTATTAGTGTGATGATTAAGAGATCATCAATTCAGAGTTTTACGTACAGAATAAGTTTTCATTATGAACATTAGCTTTTTTACATTATTGCAATTATATGGATAACTAACAAAGAAGATAAATTTAATATTTTCTTATGACTGCAATATTCTATTTTTAAAGTGTTTTATGACTATAATTTTATTTATTCGAATAACTGAGCCCTGGATAATTTAAACTGATTTAAAATTTGAAGTAGAATTCATGAATAGTTATTCAGACTCCTACACTTAATTCTCTCATTAGATTGACATAACTCTTGCACATAGTAATTAAGTTTCAGTGAGTTTATACCTGGATTTCACAGACTACTTCTTGGGAATAATTTGCCTGACTTTATATTGTGAGCAACACTTTCAATATAGAGGACACTTTTCTATTTTCCTCCAATTTATAATATAGCTTCTAGAAGTACATGGTTTCTAATAAATGTCTTGGGAAAATATTATTTACAAAATAGTCAAGGAAATTTATAATTACAAAGTTATCAACCTATTTTGATAAGCTGTCATGGCTAGTAATGCACAATGCTTATTTTTGTTTTAGATCTTTTAAACATTGTATCTAGATCTATTTGTTCTATACTGTTCTTTGCCTAGTTAATGTAATCACAGGAATACCTTAATGCAATCTCTTTTAAAAGAGTGATGGAGGGGCTGGGATTGTGGCTCTGTGGCAGAGCACTCGCCTCGCATGGGCGGGACCCGGGTTCCATCCTTAGCACCACATAAAAATAAAGGCATTGTGTTGTGTCTATCTACACCTAAAAAATAAATATTTAAAAAAAGGAGTGATGGAATTGCTTGCACTTAAAAAAAGACAGAGATGATTTTTTTTAATTGTCAAAGTGCAAGAAGTTCAACCCTCTTAGAGTTTAGATGGAGGCATAGAGCAAAGTTTCTACAGAATTTGTGGGAAGAAATGACTTTTTTTCCTATTTAGCACTGGATACCTAGAGACAATATTCAGCTCCAGATAATTAACGTGTGCATGTGTGTGTAAATATAGGTAATCATGCAATTATAAACATTGACATTGGATGATTGACATATAATGCATCTGTAAATGTTCACAATGAATTTTGCTGTCCAAAATAATGTCAATCAGAAGTTGTTTTGTTTTTGATTTCCATATATATGATTGCCCTGTAGTGACTTTTGCCCACAGGGAAAAAAAGTATATTTTTTATATTCAATAGTCAAGAAAGCTTATAAAAATACTTATAATCTTGCTTTAACTGTCATATTCATTAGAAATATTTGGCTACTGCAATGTGTTCATTTGAAAATAGAATTAAGAAATTCTTCAAATGTTCTAATAATTGTTATTTAACACTTTTTTACTGAACACTTTTTCCAAAATTAATTTTAAATTATATATATATATATATATATATATATATATATATATATATATATATATATTTACATCACTTTCCTGGATATTGGATATCATTCAAAACAGATAGTGCTACTTCATAGCAATTATATTATTACTTAATGATTAGTACATTTAGTTTTATCAAGATTAACAAGATATAAAATTGGAACTTGTTTAATTCAAAGTCTTAATTACTTCAGCACTTGAGCAATTTGACAATATTGCAAAATTGCTACCACTTTGATAATGTTTTAATCTACCCTGTGATGCATTAATATATGTGTATTTAGCAGTTATGTCTTAAGCCAAAAAATAATTAGTTTCAGAAGAAACAAAAATATTCTTATAAAATCTAATTTTATCTTTGACCTCTATTGTACTAAATATCAAAAACTAAGCCCAGTCAATTAGTCAATCTAGTTCTTTTTCCCTGAGCTCGAGTCATTGTACCAAAGGGTTCACACTGTGCTAAAGCATTTGTTCATTGGAAGCTTGCTAGATGCCTGTTGGCATTTGCTAAGAGTTTCTTCTCTCACTTCCTTCACCTTAAGTCACTCCTGTTTCCTTCTTTGGCACTCTTGTCCTCAGTTACTCTCAGACATTAATCATTACCCTCCCCCAAACCTATAACATCAAAAGATTAAATACCCCATCACCTTGAACTTTGCCTCAGGGAGCAGAGCAGAGAATTTTTGAGACCAATATGTTGATTTTCCTCCAAATTTTCTCTATCCAGTAAATTAAAAAGCACTGCTTTAAATGGGTGAAATGAACAACAGATTCTCACTGCTCTCGATTTCCTTATGATGTTTTAGTTAAAGTTCAGAGCCATTTTCATTGCACATACACACAAACACACACACACAAATCTCTATTAGGCTAGGAAACTCATACCTTTTATCACGGTTTTCTGGCTTTTGTGTGTTATCTCCCAATTGTTTTTTTCTTTCTCAGGCTGATGTTACTCACTTTGAACATTTTACTGGGCCAGTAGACATTATTTGATATAAAAATGTACTATTTAATTAATTTCTAGAGGTAAATGTGTACCTTAAAAGTTTTCAAGTTCACAAAATTTTACTGCACACTCTTCAAAGTTAGAGCATTAATGATTTTCACTCAAGTTTTCTTCTTTGTGAAGCTGGAACTTTTTATTAAGGAATACGTACATCCTAAATTGTACCAATTTATTTATTAACACTTCATCATTAATATTGATAATATATAAAAGATTTAAAAATGTAAACTCGTCTTGACCTACTTTTGTGAGCCGAGAAACAACATAAGAAATTGCTACTAAATCATTACAAATGAGAGTAAATAATTGATATGAACAAATGAAGATTGTATAATGAGCCAAAAAAGTATATAAGGCAATAAAAAAACCATTCTAAAACTCATTTTGGGTTTAAATCCTTGCTTGAAATGGCAAAGATTTGTATCTGTGCCTGCCCATTATTTGGTTGGTTGCTTGTTCTCAGCTGACTAATCTAAGTTCATTGCTATTTTCCTCTTTTTTTGTCAATATTAAGTCCCAAGTTCTCAATTATGCAACTAGTTCAAAGGCACAGGTGCATTAAAATAGTTTGAAAATGTTCATCACGATCAGTGCGTATATCAGTTATTATCAGTGAGAATAAAACTACAAATAGACCTATACATAGGACCCTGGGACAATACAGACTATTTTACATGTATAAGCTGTAGTGTAAATAGGACATTGGATACAAAATAGACATGGTGTGTAGAGGTCAACCTCTTAAAACTCAAGGCAAGATAGAAAGGGACAAAGCTGAATTTCATACACAGAACAATGAGGGCAAGTGGGCATCATTTCTGCTGCCCAGAACATCTGGTCAGTGCATTGTACATTACTATGTAGTATTCGGCTGTCCTAGGGTCCTATTTTCTACTGTTGGTAATTTGAAATACAGGGCATTCTCGAAATGAAATGACAGCCTATTTCTAGAACATGATTTCATGAATGCATTTCTTATAGTACTTTTCTTAAAAGGATAGACATCTAAAAACATAAAAATTATTTCAAAGTTGCTATAACTGATGAATGCATTGATCAATTTAAGTTTTTATAGCCGTTGCTTATCTGAGACATGGGATAAATGGGTTAATAATTTTTTTTTGTTTTTGTTTTTTTCATGATTTTTTTGTTCCCTTAGGCTTGAATCACCTACCAGATCCTTGATTATGGAAGCTCCTCGTGGGGTCCAGGTGAGCGCTGCTGCAGGTGACTTCAAGGCTACCTGCAGGAAGGAGCTGCATTTACAGTCTACGGAGGGGGAGGTAAGTCCCCAGGAGAGCCATTGACCCATTTATTGCTGAGTTCTCAGGATCTATGCATGTGATTCCAGTGTGACATAAACAACTGCTTCAGGAGTAGTAAGCTTAAATATGAAAATATTAATACTTGAACATGAAACTTGCTAAAACTAATACTATTTTCTTAAGTTACAGCTCCACTTATTTTCTACTGAGATATTTAGTCACATGGCAATTTAAAATGGGGCATTTCAATTCTTTAAGTTACACCATTAACACATAAACATAATTAATATTAAGATGATATCAAGAATGAAGACAGTCTTTGTTTTCTTTGTTCTCTTTTGGTCTTCAAAAAAATTTTCCAAAGAAGGATCAATGGGTACTACATTTTAATTATCTAGGTGCAGGCAGTTTGGGTGTGCTATTTAGTGGTAGGGTGAGTGTAGGTAACAATAAAGTGCATTTCAAAAAGCTAGGAGAAAGAATCATAAAAGTTTTTACCATAAAGAAATGACAAATATCTGAGCACAAATACTTGGTAAGTATCCTGATTTATGCATTATACAATGTTTACATATATCAAGCATTGCATAGTATCCAATTAACATGTACAACTTTTCTGGTTTTATTTATTATTTAAAAATAAATTAAAAACAAAACCAAAAATTTCTTCCAAGGAGGACTTTGGATATCAGCATTTTGTTTCTGTAGGAATAGCATCTACATTTGTCTAGAAGGTAAATAAGAGATTATTTTACTATTTGTTTTGATTTTTATTTCTTGGATAAGGACACGCATGTTAATATTTCTCTTCCATGCCACTATCTGCCCTGAAGAGTCTCCTTTAAGTCTTGTCATTACTTTCAATATTATCCATATTCTCAAGCCTGGTGTAAATAACCCTTTGTGTTTGATGACCTCCACCCACTATAATGTGGGATATTATATATAGCATACATGCATATTTACATATGTATGTTACATGTACACATACATGCATATATGTTGTCATTGCTAGAATTGCTATAAATACATATTGTAATTATTGTTTCCACATATTTACATTTTTGTCAATTTTGGAAATTTCTCTGCATTTTCTCTTCAGCTATTACCTCTCACCCATTATCACTGTGGTCTTTCCCTAAAACTCTAAAGAAATTTATACCCTTCATTCTACTAGAAGACTTTGGATGCTTGTTCCCAGTTTCTCTTTCTTGGTTTCCTGTGGCCTCATCCAGCTTATATATTCAGATCTTCATCCCCAAGATTCTTCCCAGTATTAAATATTTTTGGTCTTTTAATTGTATAGATTTATTATTTTCTTCAAAAATTATCATCTGTTCTTTTTCAAAGCTGCCTGGACATCATGGTAGTTGCTCTTTTGTTGGTTTATTTTCAATTCTACCTTAATTATTTTAAGTCCTTATACATGATTTATATTCCACACTGTATATTCTGACTACAATTCCCAAAGTCCTTAAGGTTCTAAATCTATTGTATTGCTGTTCTAGCATATTTGTTTTTTCTTCCTTCATGTGTTTCCTTATTATTTTTTTTTAACATGAGCTTACAAAGGTCAAGTTGAGAAGAAAAATAATGGAAAAATAATCTGAAGAAGATGCTCTTGGGTATTTCACACCTTTCCAGATGAATGATTAATTAATAGAATCTTAACTTTCTGCCATTCTCTCAGTTGCTAGTTCAAGATAAATTTTAATTATATATTTTGTTTCCTTTTATAAACAAACTTATTGGCAGGTTCATGTTAGCAACTTAGTGATAACACTCATAGACAATCCATAAATATGCTTCAACATTTAAAAAGTACATCTATATATCTTTTTGGTATTTTTTTAAATTACAGTTGCAGGCTACGATATTTTGTCAGCCTTAGCAAAACAGAAATAATTTTTAAAATATCTTGCTTCCTTTTCAAAGAGTTACTCTTCGTCATATAACCATTCATTCAAATTATTCATAGTGAATGTCACATAATAAATATCAGAGTTTATTAACCTCTGTTGTGCTCCTGTTTATGAATCATTTACTTGTGTTCTTTCATTCAATGTGTAAGTAAAATGCTTTGATTCAATTACAGGTTAGCATTTAACTGTCAATTGAATATTATGCTATAAATAAATCGTAGGCAAAGGTTTTCACCTGTGGTTTATTTTATATTAATAAAATGAAGTTACAGAAAGATACCTCACTTTATATTATTAAAATAACAAATAATTCTGCTATAAAAAATGAAATGATATAAAATAGTTCTCTTTGCTACATCAACTATGCCACAAATTAATCACTTACTAAACATTATAGAAAGTTATAAAGTACCTACATTTACACAGTTTTTTTTTTTTACTACTTAATATCAGAACACACATTATAGCCAGGCATTCAAAATAATGGATTAAAGACAGGATGAAATTGTACATAGAAGTCCTCACTGGAGAATATTCAAAGTAATTTCAAACAGACTGCTGCAAGGAATTTAGATTTATCCCTGAGAAAAACAAGCATCATAACTGTACATGGAGTATTATAAGTGGCATACTAGAATATGCAGTATAATAACATATCCAGATCATTGAGGAAGACTGTTTATTTTGAAAATTGGTCAAGGCTTTGAGAATGATAAGTCTGCTTTCAACAGGTGAGAATGACGAGAGTGAATTCTTTCTGGATAAAGAAAAGATGGTGGGATATGACTTTGAAACTCAGGGATGCACTTCTGACAACAAGGATGAGTTTCAGAACAAATGGCTTCTGTGGTTTATAGGGCAATATAGAATAGGCATATCACTCTTAGGAACTGGAAAACGAACATGATAGTAAATACTTAGAACAACAGGAAGTGCTGATTGAGCCCACCCCCATTGCAGTGACCTGGAGAGGCTCAGGAACACTGTGCCAAAAGTAATCAAAGGGAAACAGCCCTTCTTACTTCTTGATTTATGTTGCTATCTTAAACCAAGAAAATAGAATGTTTTTTCTTTCTAAGGGCTCCATATGAATGAATATATTGATTATAAAATCTGTCTCCTTTATGTGGGCAAAGCTACAGTTTGAAACTCGGAAGGTTATATGGAATGAAGGATTGTCATATAGCCAGATACTGTCCTAAGTAGCCCCTAAATGTGTGTACTAAAGATCTCTGCTGTGGCTGCACTGCAACCTACACACATCAGGGCCAAGTCCTTCGAGGCTCACTGCTCTGCCTAAGCCCACAGTTGACGCCTGCTTTCTGAGGCTGCCACCTGCAAGCTTTAGCCTTACCTTATGAAACAACTACTCTGCACTTATTCACCCAGGCCACAGCCACTCAAGAAACAACTAGTTCCAAAAATGTAAAAGCCAGAGGTATGGCTTGGTGTTAGCAAGCCCCTACAAACCCTCAGGTCTAATTAGCAACACTAATTATCAGTATTTACTAATGAATTCACAATTCACAGAATCTTGCAATAATTTTATCAATCCCACATGAGCCTCCTTTTCTACATTTTCTTTAGCTTTCTTTATTCCTCAGCTTATTATCTACATCTCAAAGTGTCTTGGCTTAAAAACCAGCTCCAGGTGGTGTTTCTAGATGGTGTTTCATTTCTTCTAAATGAACTCATCTCCACATTTGCAGACCTAAATCTCACAGATCTGGAGCTTGCCATATTTTTGGCCTTCTTAAAGCTTGAGAATGTTTGGTCTTGGCAAGCATACCCATTTCTAAAAAGCTGTGAGGAATGGATAAAGAAACTGTGGTACATATGCACAATGGAATATTACTCAGCATTAGAAGAGAATAAAATTTGGCATTTGCAGGTAAATAATGGAGTTGGAGAATATCATGCTAAGCAAAGTAAACCAATCTCAAAAAAAAAAAAAAAAACAAAGGTTGAATGTTCTCTCTGATAAGTGGATGCTAATCGATAATGGGGGCGGGCTGTGGGGAGAATGGAGAAACTTTGATTAGGACAAAGGGGGTGGAGTGGAGGGGGCATGGGGGTAGGAAGATGGTGGAATGTGATGGACATTATTACCTTAGGTACATGCTTGTGACTTTACATTGTGTACAACCAAAGAAATTAAAAGTTGTTCTCCATTTGTGTACAATGAATCAAAGAGCATTCTGCTGTCATGTAAAACTAGTTAGAACAAATAAAAAAAATTAAAAAAAGTTTTGAGGAAAAGGGACTGAATAATACCCATTTGCTCTCTCTCAAAGTAAGCTAATGAAAGGAGTCATCCCACTTCCTCTGTGGAGGAATAAGACTGATCACCCCAAAATGTGTAACAATTCTTGTTTCACTCCTTTATGTCCCTCAGCAGGGAAAAATGGAGCAAGAAAAAATGAGGACCAACACTCACACTTTCAAAGTGGATAGCCATGTTTTGTGCACTTTTTTATTTAGTTTTGTGCACTTATTACTTTGGCTTCAGAAAAGCAGATATTTTCTTTAAAAATTAAAACAGAAGTCATTTCAATCTCTTTGCTTTCCTATCCTTCAAGTCAGACATAGATATGGAGTAATGTATTTTAACATTTCACAAATGTTTAATGTGACTTCGTAACTTTGATCACTGCTGGTAAATGCCACCATTCATTCATTTTATGATTCATTCCTTTATTCAATAGCTATTTGTATTATGTGAAAATGTATTTCTAGGTCAGACATCCTGAGAAGTTACAAAAACATATTTTTTTTTAAATCAGCCATGAATCTACTTCTCTAAGGAGGATATAGTTTAGTAGGAGAAGTATAATAAATAAATAAAATGATATATTGAGTGACCAGCACCATAAAATACCAAAAATAATTAATTCCAATGTGATGGTCAAATGAGAAGAGCCATTTCATCTTAGATTATCAAGGAAGATTCTTGAAGAAAAAAAAGCATATGAACTTGGCTTTCATGGAGGGTGTACTAGTACACTACAAAAGAGAGACACTTCTAAGGTTAAGGAGGAACATTATGTCACTCAGCACACACTAGTACAGTTCTTTGCCCTGATCTGTAGCTATGAACTAAAGTCAGGCCTGACCCTCATGGATCAAACTTGCAAGTAGAAGAAATAATGAATGAACAAATATAAGCTTAATATAGTAGTATTAAAGTTTTGTTACTATAGAAACAAGCAGTTGTAAAGATTAATGGATTAGTGTTATTTTAATACAGTTAATAATTTGTGCAGAGGTGACCTTTTAGCAAACATTGGAACAAATTTATAATTAAACCAGTCTGAAATATCTATGTCCTTAGTATAGTAATCCTTTTTCTGGATTATTTATAGTTTTCAATAGATTCCCACAATTCAAAAATTTTTTGAGTATAAAAAGATCAGTGGTGGAAATAACTCTCCACCCTTGTTCCCAGGCACCCAGTTTATATCTATCGCCACTTATAAGCCTTTGTAAAGTATCAGACTGAGGAAATAAAGAGTAAAATAGCTCTGAAGTCAATACTTTTGGTATGTTGGAGAAAGTGCAAGAAGTGGGGAAAGGAGAATTGCAGGAGATGGTGTTGAGGAGATTAGGCAGGTAGTGCAAGTCTCTGGGAGACTGTTAGAGAGTTGTTGAGTGCTTGGCTGGTTTGATTTGCATCTTTTAAAACTTTGCCCTAGCAGCCAGGCATGGTGGTAGAGGCTTGTAATCTGAGGGGCTAGGAAGCTTCAGAGGGAGAATACAGTTCAAAGCCAGTCTCAGCAACAATTGTGAGGCACTAAGCAAATGAGACTCTGTCTCTAAATAAAATACAAAATAGGGCTGGGGATGTGGCTCAGTATTCGAGTGCCCCTGAGTTCAATCCCAAGTACCAAAAAAAAAAAAAAATTACATACCCTAGCAGTAAGTAAGATCAATGACAAACGGACAGGAATGGAGTCATGGAGTCACAAGGCCAGTTAAACGGGTATTGCAAGAGTCCTATTAAGAAATGAATGAAACTCACATAAGGGCAAAAGGGGAACAGGGAGGACTGCCAGTTAGGCAGTAATCAGGTCATAACAATAGAATTAAGAAATTGATGGAGAGAGTTGTGTCTTTGTTCATTGAAATTCATGATTCAATTTTTCTTTCTTTGGAATTTTCCTCAACCATGTCAAAACCATATGATGCATGTAATCAGCTGTCCCTGAAGGTAGGAGTCTATGATTAAGAATAGTGAGATAATTTTCCAAGCAAAAAGATTCAGCAAAGTGGGTTTCAAATGCATGTAATATATTTCATGGAAGCTTGAATTCTGACTCTACATAATAATTATCTCTTGTTAATTGGGCTGATGATCTACTTGAGGTAACTTTAGAATATGAGACAACATGATTTTCTTAGTATTTTTAAAAATAGACCAGAAAGTATCTTTTTTCCTCAATTGCCCATTTCTTCAGTAATGTCATCTTTATTGACATCTTTGGGTTTTTTGTACATTCTTTATACTATGCCAAATCAAGAAGTTAAATTGAGAGACTATTGAAATCATTAATTTTCCGTGGTGTTTGAAAAACTGGATGGGCCCCTTGAGCAGATTGTACAATATTACTTTTCAGATTGAGGGCTTTCTGTCAGAATGCACCAGCTCTCAAAGGAGGAGACAGCTGCAGAGTGTTTGGACCATACTGGAGGAATGTAATTTGTTTGTTCAACAAAGCATGGCAGCTAGACCAGGAGAATTGTCTGTAGTTCAGTCTCTCTTATCAGACCATGTTGCAAGCTCTCGGGGATGGAGGAGGCTGAAATGAATTAAAATGAAATCTCTTTTCCCCCTAGATATTTTTAAATGCAGATACCATCCGGCTGGGAAATCTACCGACCGGCTCCTATTCATCTTCTTCAACCAGCTCCTCAACTTCTCGACAGACAGTGTATGAACTCTGTGTCTGCCCCAATGGCAAACTTTACCTTTCTCCAGCAGGGGTAGGTTCCACTTGTCAGTCCAGTAGCAACATCTGCTTGTGGAGCTGAAGTGACTGATTTCTCCTCACACCAGAATAGCCTTTTGTTCCTGTCCGTCTGCTTCACACTTCTGCTCGGTTTCCCTTGTGATCAGTCCAGAACTTCTTCCGATGGTCCACAGAGCGACTTCTTCCAGTATAAGCAGGGATCCGCCACCACCTTCTCTTGTGATTTACCAGACTGCTCAACACAGAGAGTGTGAGTGACATAGCAGTGGAAACATCATCTTCAACAGGAAAACTGGATCATAACTTTTGCTCAAAAGGGAGAATAATATAGGTGCCTTTGCTACATGAAGTGAAGCACACAGTTTTAGATTTTTGCAGAACCTGGATATGAACTGCACATAAATATACATCACATAGATGAAATTCCCAGTATCCAATGGCAAGATGAAATGGTTAACCCTGTAAGAAAACTAATTCTACAGTTTGAAAGCACAATTTTCCATTCATCTTTTTGGATGTAAACTTTTATCCCCGAATTTTAAAATTTTGAAGCATTATGTAATGCTTGCTTTACTAAAAATTAAATTCGATACATGATTTTTAACAAAACAAAACAAAAGAAGACAGAATCCCTCCCTGAGTTTTGTTTCTTTAAATCCAATGTGTTGTTACTCTTTGTCTACTAAGTCTAGAATTTTGTACATTAGGTAATTTTGAAAGCACTCAGCAATATAATCTTTACAGAATTAACAAAATGCCATTATCCTGTCATTTGTCATATCTGGATGGCCTTATATAGTATTTACTTGGCTATTGCATGTGACGTATTTGCTTTTAACAAAACATCTAGTTTATTGCAAGATAAGATAGGATTAAGAGGGAAATATCGATGATGTGGAATCCATAGATCATTTCCTTAAAAATTCACATGCTACCCTTTACACCTAAATTTTATTAATAGTACATTTTTGTTTGCTCCATTCACTTTATACTTGACTTGGATTGCTAAAATTCAAACATCATCTAAATAAATACTAATATGATACATAATGCTGAGAATGGATTCACTTTCCATTGGGATATCATCTTCAGAGTTTTCACTTTATAAAATTGAAGGTTTAAGGAGATTATAAATTAAATAAAAAAAATTCTGACTGAACACTACAAAAGACAAATGTTAATAAACATGTTGAAAATGTTGTTTACTCTTTTAGATTCATATTTTAAGAAATTTAGTCACATTTATATTCAGTTGCAAACATTTAGTCACTTTTATTAAAATGTTAAGCTACCCTGACCTCAGAAATCTAGCTCCTTCCATTCTTCACTGTTTTTTTTTTGTAAATTAGCTTCTAATAAATAATTCCAGAATAATGTAGATTTGTTTATCATAATACTCCTTAACTCAAATTCTTGCAACCTACAGAATCCAAGAAGGTAAATCTATATTAAATATTTCCTATTATGGGAAGATGACTTAATTACTGTAAGGTAAGTTCTTCATTTTCACACATCAATCAGTCTGTTCACCCCTATGCACACTATTAACAAATATGCTCAAGTTTCATTTTGGGGGTTCTTGACTGTTTCCATATGAAGGAGCAAAATGGGAGACTGGAATTTATCAAAGTAATTTGGTTGTGAGAAAATCGGGTAACAAAATCATCAAAGTGAACTATTTGGTCAGAATTATCTTGTCTGGATAGTCATCATTTCTAGTAATTGAAAAAATTCAATTTCACTGAATGCATTCTTTACTCAAAGAAGGGTCTGGAATTCAGCTATTTAAATGTTATTGTTTTTAAATAGAAATTTATCTGCATTTGAGGGTTATTATATAAGTCTTTAAATCAATATTGAAATAAGACTTACGACATACAATTGCTTAAAAATTTACAACAGTTTTTGTTGAAACATTAGAATTTTGTATGACAAATTCACACAATTAAGTCTTTGGAAAATACTCAAATTATAACACAAGAAATTTTGAGAAATTATGGGTGCTAATTACTATATTATGTCAAGCAAAACATTTTTCTTTAATTTGAGACATATTTGAGCTTTAGTCATCTAAATTAAAGTAATTAAGAAGTTTCTTAGTCAAAGGGGTACAATTCTATTGATGAATAATTGGCCTTATTTCTAAAATCTTCTACTAATAGTTGAGCTGACATAAGCAATCTGAGAATATCTGCAGGATTCTGTTTACTTGACTTATCAACAAAAACATTAAATGTCTTCTGAGGTTTCTTCCAGCTCTAAAATGTTCTAGTTATCAGAAAAAAATATTATAAAAGGTACATGGGAACACTGAAAATTTAAATTACATATCATAAGTGATGAGAAGTTGGCAAGTATGATCAGAAGAAGGGAGATAGAAACCAACTCCAGGGGAAAGACTGTCAGATTTTCAATTCAAAATTATAATAAAAATACAGACAGAATTCAAAAGTATAGACCCATTTGAGAGATTTAGATTATGTCCAGATGATATAAAAATATCTGTTCAGTTTAAGAGAAAAAAGTGTGATACAGAGTACTTTCTACACATCATTAATTGGTTGGAATTACATGACTGTTTTACATTCCTCAGGATCTAAGATGCAGTCCGAGTTCAGGCTTCTGTTAAAAATCTTAGATGATTGACCCTAGTAGTACTTCATTTCCTAATGCAAAAGACTTGTTTCTTCCTTGACACATTAGGTCCCTGAATTACAGACTACCCAAACAGATTCATTATCTATTAACTTTTTTTTACGTTAGAGCATATGTACCTAAAATTCAGTTTACTTGGATGATGCAAATTTCATCTTCTCTAAATCACACTCAGAAAAGTAAATCCTTTAAAGTATACTACATGAACCCTACTCAGCTGTAATAGTTTAGCTTAGAAAGGAAAAAAAGAAGAAATAAAGGGGTTTGGGAGTATTCTTGGCCTTTAAATTATTTGCCAGAAATGGATAAACTGAGATGTATTTGAGTTCAGTTTTGGCAGGTCAAAAAGAAGACATATTATTCTTTTTTTTTTTTTTTCCTTTCCGGATATTTCAATAAAACACTTCAAAAAATAACAGCACTTCTAAATTTCCTGATTATTTTAATCTAATTTCTACACTGTACTTTTTGGTTCTATTTTTTTTCATATTTTATTATGCACCATAAATTTCATAATCTGCTATATAATTATTTATCTAAGAATTTTAGACAATTACATACTTCAAATTTTAATGTTAACTTGGAAATCTTTATTTACACTATCTCAAATTTCTGAAAATAAAGTCAGGAATTTCAATTCTGGTTTTAGCCCTAGCTGATCATGTAAACTTCCTTAAGAAATATATTTAATTCTCTTGCCAGTTTACTTATCTGTGAGAGAGATATTTTAAATGAGGTGTTTTCCTTGGTCACTTTTATTTCTGAATTTTAATGGTTCATTTTAGAAACGACTCAGCCAATCTTCAGCCTGATTTAAACTAACATTTGTGATCATCATATATTCGTTAAAGAGATGCTAATAAATATTGAAATACAAATCTTTTCAGCTCCCAACCTTTTCATCCTGTGCTCCATTTTTCGCTCTTACTATTTGTACATTGAGGTCACTTTGAGAAAATCATCTTTGATTGACTATCTTCAAGAATACAGTTCATATTAAAAAGGATAAGTGTGTATTTGGGTCTCATTCAAAATAACTCTTTAGGAAGTTAATAGAACTATTTACCAATGTAAGCATTCTGTCAACTGTTTTGTTTTTATCTCCATCATGCTAAAAGGAATTGTTTTTTTGAAGAAAAGATCTTTTTATCACTAAAGTCGATTGCTGAGCTTTTTATAATGTGTTATGTCATTCAAAATTTCTACATACTCTACTACTCTAATGGTTCAATTGGACAGTGCCTCGTAGAAAAATAAAACTCCTAATGAATTATGCCATTGCCAACATGCTATCTCTGTATGAGGCAGTAATAATCTGGAGCGTTTCTAATGCATATGAACATTATATTTTTATATCAGATAATATCAATATCATAATATTAAAGTATTAAAATAGTTGAAGGTATTTAATGATCAAATTCTCTCTACAACTATCAAAGCCAAACTCATTTAAGTTTCATATGAGTGAGATCTTGTCACCTTCTTCTTCAGTAGCTATGATCTAATTATAATTGCTCACATGATCATATTTAAATGGAGAAATTATTTCCTTTATGTACTAGTGCATATTATAATAATGAAAATTTCAAAATATCATTATCAAAAAGTAAGATAATACTGTATTTTTATTCCTTTAACACAATCATGTATTAAGGAATGACTTCATAAACACTGTTGTTTTGTTTCAAACTACAGCCCATTAATTGTTTAAATGTCAAGACCAAAGACTGGGATTTCTACAATATTTAATTCTATAACACTGATGCTTCTACTAATTGATTAAAATAATGGAGGGACTAATAATTATAACACGAGGTAGTACACATCCTCCTGGGGGATTCTGAGCAGTAGCCATTAGTTAATGCTTTTGTTGTAGAATAAAAACTCTGTTAGTGTGATCCACTTATCTTCTATACAAGCATAATAGGTTCCTTGGTCTTCATAAAACCAGTATTTAAAGACCATATGCCAAAATGGGCTCAGGATGGATTAACTCAGCTGAGTTTAAACCTTCATTGCTTGCTAAAAATCTTTGCTAAATATCATTAATTTGAAATACTTCTAGAACCAGAGGGCTATTTTTTAAGTGTTAATTGATGTGACTCCACTCTTTGAGAAAGTCAATGAAAAACAGGAAAAGAAATGACATATAATGAACTGTGATTCTTTTTGTTTTTCTAGTCTGAATATCTCTTTCATTTGAATATTTATAAATAAAAATCAAACAGGGTTAAAGATGTGCAAGGATATTCATTTACAATGGAGATATGTAATTTGGAGTTTGTTTCCTTATTTATACAATTCTTTAAATCAGGTCCACTATTCATTTATTTTGTTTTGTAACTTTCATGTAAATGTTTTCTTGTATATAGAGATATATTAAAAAAATGGAACTATTTTCTTACACATACTATGCAATATGTTTGTAAAATTGCAATATTACCAAAATTACAAAAGCTGTGCTTTTGTACTCTATCTTGCTTTATGTAAAATCAATCTTTTTCTATTTAAATGGACTGTCTGTCCTATAAACTGTAGATAACATATCTATTCAAAAATCAGTCTATTGTATCTTTTGTTTAGTTTGGGGTGGGTTGGGGTATATTTCTTTTGGGAGAAAATGCAGCAAAATTTTGGCAGTTGGAAACTATTTTTCCTCAGAAATGAGACTTTTAAAGCATGCAATGAGCTCATATCATTTAAAAATCTCTCCTGTAATTCTTGTATTTTGTCCTAATTTTGGTGCTACTGTGTAACCATGATTAAATGTGATAGTTAAAACAAACAGAATCAAAATTCATATGCTATCATTTCATTTATTTGGAGAAAAAAATGCTCAAAGAGGAGGGGTATGAGTATCAGCAGTGAATAGAGACATTTTCCAAATATGTGTTATTTAAATACCAATTCTATTCAGATGTGATTTTATAAAATTGAGTTTAATATATAT